GATGCTTAGAATGGCCAAAGTCGTCTGGTTACGGTATGGGCCGACATTTTTTTAACGGTAAAAAAAACACTTACAATCAACTCAGATTAGAATAATATATATACCATTCGAAAGATCACATTCTGAACTTTCATTTGATTACATAAACAAACCCTGTAGCAGGTATATAACAATGTCACGACGATTAGAAATCAAATGAAATTTTGGCGCGGTACGACTTTTGCAGCCGACACTTGGGAACTGGCAAAACACGTCTTGTTTGGCATTACCCTGCTCGCGTAATTTTCGTCTTGGGATGTTGCGGGTGGTACCACTGGATAGCCATTGATTTTATCTTCATTGTGGTAGTGATATTTATAACTAAATATTGATTGCACAATCGGTACGATTTTATGAAAACAGCTGTTTTCGAAATTTCTAACAAATGGCCAACAGTCGTCTGGTGACAGTATGGAAAATACGAATTATATACAGTGAAAGTTATTATTACTAGTCATATAGTATATCATTTTGAAGAGGAAGAAATTTAGATTCAGAGAGTGGCAGCCCTGCACTCAGGGTTATTTCTGTATGCTCGCATGTAGACGACGGAAGTGAAGTGAAGTGAGTCGTGAGTCATTACTGCTGAGGTCTGTCAGCTGTCTTGTATTGCCATTGTTTGTTTGTGTTGTTTGTTGCCAGTAATAGTTTTATCCGCGATTTATTACTAAATATGTTATTAGTTCGTAGTGTTAGTGTAAGTGAAGTGTTGTGTGTGTGTATAACAGTTATCTTCATGCATAAATATTACTGAATTGTGTGGAATAGTGTTCATAAAAGGTTGTATTTTGTTAGCATCATGTCCTAAAATGACGATTCTGACATTCAGAGATTGTTGTACCTATATAATGATATACCCAAGGTGTTATACATTTTTATAAAGGTAAATGAATACACTAAAACATGTTTACAATGGTTTGGGGGTAAAAAATTTTGTAAAAAAGTTATAGCCTATACTAAATAGGCCTACTACTGTATTTTGTTAGAATCATGTTCAAAAATGATGATTCTGACATTCAGAGATGCTATATATGGCCTATGCTATATAATGATTTACCCAAGGTGTTATACATTTGTATAAAGGTAAATGAATACACTACAACATGTTTATATTGGTTTGGGTGTAAAAAAATTGGTAAAAAAATTATATAGGCTACTAAATACTGCACACTCTATTTTCTCGAAATGCGCAAAAAATTCAAAACGTTGTCAAATTGATACATAATCATAGGTGAAAATAAATTTTTACCATCATACTTATGACTTTTTTGGATTCCTTACTTCATTAGCTTTACAAATATGTAGGCTACATATCATCAGCCTACATAATGTTTCACAACACAAGCAAACACTGTAGGCTATAGTTTACACTTATTTGCGGTTTTGCGGTTATTGTATTATTATGTCCCTATTACGTACCTACAAAAAAAATATTTCTAACATTTTATACATTTTTATGTAGGTAGGCCTAATTGAATACACTACAAGATTATTATGTTGGTTTGAAGTAAACAAATTCGGTACAAAAGTTGTATACTAAGTACTGTGAATTTTTTTCTCGAGAAATCGCTAAAATATAAAAACATTATTTTATATACGTATGTTTATAGGTAAAAAATTATTTTTACCATAAACTTTATGACTTTTTTTGATTTCTTACTTCATTGGCTTTACAAACATGTATATATCATTATTAGTATACACATATATTATAGAACTTTTTACTACATAAACTAACACTGTACGGTTTTCAATTTTTTCGGTTCTCCGTTTGTCATTATATTTCGCCCCAAAAACTTAGAAAAAAAAATATTTTCCTAACATGTTATATATTTCTATGTAGGGAATTAGATTGTCTACAAAATGTATATAATGAATTTCCCATAAAAAAATCCGTAGAAAAAAAATGCAGAGGCCGCTTTTGAAATTTCAACAAAAAAAATTCAAATTTTTTTATTTTTTCACTTTACCGATAAAATACACTATCTAAATCATTATGATATTACTATTTCTAGATTCTCCTGTTCTTTCCGAACAAAATGAATATGAGGTTGGCTAGGTTTACTTGTACGGTTGAATTTTTACGAATTTTCAAAAAATGGTCTGCAAAATCGCCAAAATGGGTTGGCCATTCCCCACTTCTAACATTGGCCACTGCTAGGGTTAATCTATGGTACAATATGAAGTGGATTAAATTTTCCTGTTTGACTTTCCTAATGGTATTTTTTTCTTTCACATCACTTACGGGACCTATCGTTTCTTCTTATCGATGGCTTTAGGTTGGATTTTAACCACCAGTTTATGAACCCGACAATAACCCTTGACGATGGAGGCTCACATTTTCAAGCGATTTTTCATTTTTTGTAACGATCGTAGAATTTGCAAATTAAAATGTTTGTTTTGAGCTAAACAATAATTTAATGAAGACAATTATTGTTATGAGAGATTTTACAAAGAAACCAAAAATAAAGGTCACTTATGCAATGAAATCATTCTCCTTATTCAAGAACCCTGCCAAATTAATTACGTTAAATTCAAAAGTTGTAATTATATAAGATTTTAATGGATAGCGAATTTTTTAAAGAAAGATCTCAAACAGTTGCCAAGAATGGACAGGTCCCGATTAGAAGAACCTTCTTTTTATTAACTCTTACCAACCAAAAGTCATCGGTAGTTATTATTTTTTAATTGTATAACCTGTAGATGATTTGTATATTTTTAAAATAAGACATCTTACAAGAACTACAAAAAACTACTTGACGAACAATAGAGAGCAGATCTATTAGTAGAATTTTCTTGGTATAGATATTCCTCTTAAATCATACGTTAGTTAGTTTATATCTTAATACGTATCCCTTAATGAATGGTTTATATATTTTTCACATTGGTTCAATTCGGACCAGAATCGTAGCAAAGCAAGGTTTCTCGTGGGAAGACCTTGACAACTCAGCCTTACATAAGCCTATTATCATACTTAACATCTTTCTCGACGTCACTTCATTGTATCACTTTCCTCTGTACATTTTCGTTTACATGGTTACATCGTTAGTGGCATCCCCATGTTATCTTAATACGGTAGAATTTTGTATTGTGGGGTCAGTGGAGTTCTTTCTACGATTTCCTCTCAAATGTTGATATTTTTGGAGTCTTTGGACATAGGCCTATTTGTGTGGTTTTGCAAAAGTTGGAAAGTGCTAAAGCAAAAATATTTTATCTCGGTGAACTATTGTGTGTCATTTAGAAAATAAAAACACTCTATAATTGCAGTTCGTTATTAGCAACGGCGAGTTTACGTTACACAAATGATTGAATATTGTAGACATTTCCCAATAGTAATACTGTGAACAAAATTGTCATAACCTTTCGTGATTTGATTTTTGATCCCTTCCTCAGGTGAATATGTTGTAAATACTTTCTCACGTAGAGTCATATTACAGATCCCGAAACGTCGTAAAAGCTTTGTCTTTCAATAGTATTGATGGAAATAGTCAGCAACACCTGATAATGTAAATCGTAACTACAGCTATTATCAATACATTAGATAGTAAAATAATCTCCATTACTTAGATAATATTAACATTGACGCTATTAGTGACAATTTCCGCGATTAAGGCGATGTTGGTTTCATGCTACAATTAATTGCTGATTTTTTTTAGAATGAAGTATGCTAGAAATTCTAAACCAATATCGAAGTAAAATATACAATACTTGACTCAAAACTACCATTAATAAAGTATATGGTTGAAGAATCTTGATTTATAAAATAATTTTGAGGTTTACACGATTATTGACAGTTTACCGGGGTTTGAAAAAAGATATGTAGTGATTTTGGTTTTACACTATTTTGCTGGAAGTTTAGAAAAATATACTCTTCTATTTTTTTTTTTTTTTAACTAAATAGCTATCTTACTACTCTCGATATCCACCATACTAACCGAAATAATCTTTTGTTTCCTCCAGTGACATGTTAAAAATCCCACCATGAAAAAGTGGAAACCACCGCATCTACGAACTTCAGTCGCGATCACAAATAGCAAAGGTCGGCACACTTTGCCCTGCTTCCTTGTTTATGTTGTGGCATTTAATTTTCAAACGACCCTGAACGGGATCAAAATAGCCGCAGCACCGCTGACACAGAGGAACTCTTCAACGCGCTGTTGATTGTGATGTATTGTGATAGCACTGATAGACGGATGGGCGGGGCTTGTGATGGGGTACCACAAGGATCTGTTTCGGGTGCGATGTTTTTTAGGTCCGAATATTTTGTTTACTATTTGGAACTTTGTTTGGTGTACGAATACGATATAGTGATATTAATTTCTTGATGCCACAAATAACCCTCTCCACATTTTGTTTTGCCAATTACCAATGACTAAATGTGGTTTTATTATTTTCCAATCAATCTATAGGAATAAGATAGCACTATAGCATTCAATAACTGTAATTCTTAGTCTGCAGGTTCGCTTCCTCGAGTATAGTTAGGTCGGGTGTATTTTTGTTGTAAGCTATGTAAAAGTCCACAAAAACACACAAGATTGATCCCAATGGTGTAAAAAGTTCCAATGGTCCAAAAACTTAATTAAAAAAATGTTCAGAATGCGGTACGATGTTACCTTTGTGGATTAATTGAGCGAGAAACTTCAACCTCTTAACGAAGCAATGATGGTGTACACATTAACATATCTAAGGACAGACTTAAAATAAAAATAATAACTCTAACTCTATCTGTGGTGTCCACAGTAGTTTCTCCTCTCCTTAACACAGCCTAAATTTAAAACAATAATTAATAATTTATTTTCTTTTTTTTGGTAATTTTCTTTTATACTGACTACGACTTGATGAGGTTAGCTTAGGTTATGTTAAATAAATAAATAAATAAATATATATTACATATATATATATATATATATATATATAAACATAAATAACCCAACCTAACATTATTGTGGTTCGTTTAACAGAAAGGTACCTGTTTTCCTCTTAGACATACCTAGAAAATCGTTTATAGCACAAACTCTACGAAAAAGTGCAAAAGTGTAATTCCAAAACACCAAGTGTACACGAAAAGCACAGAACAAAATTTCTAGTGTGCTAATTCATTCTGTGCATCAATTGAAGTGTAGGAGTGTAGTGTGGTAGCAGAGTGCCTGCAATATGAACGATACCTGATACCATACACTAGTGTGCTGCGTGAAGCGTTATGTCTTCAGCGGTGATGTGAACCATGTTGAGCAGGTGCCTCTTCGCTTGTCACTTCAACTTGAGAACTTGGTGCGTCAGATATTGTAACTGCTTCGGCTGTTGCTACGAGGACAGTAGCGGCCATGAGGTAAGGCTTGGTGTAAATTGTGGTAGTTACTAACAGTAGGTTTAAATATTCGTTTGGTGTGTGGTATGTGGAATAGCTTTAAATAAAAAAAAAAATGATCAACATAAAATTTGGTTTGTTTCAAAGCCAAAAACAGTTCCTTTTCTTGAGTTAGTCAAGGAAGCTATAGCGTGGTTCACCTTAAATTGAGGCAAATTGCCTGATCAGTGAGTAAGACAGGGCAATTTAAAAGTAAAATACATCAGTTGAGCCACATTGAATAAATAAACTTAAGGGTGGAAATCTTATGAATAATTGAAGATTTTGATCAATTTGTTATCCGAGAAAACAAAATATGTATTATTCAATCAAAAACGTTAATCTAAATATAAAAGAGTCAATTTTGCATTTGTCCCATAATCGGCCGACTTGGAAGTGTTGAAATCAACTTACATTTTTCCAATATCACGTAGCACAACATTAAATTTTAAATACTAAATAATAAGATATTTTTGCATGCGTCATTAAATTGTATTACAATTAGCTTAGAGTTTTCATCAAACGTGTGGCTGTTAAAAGACTGAAACCTCCAAAACTTAGCTCCTAATAATTAGTTTCCAGAACACTGAGTTACTCCTAACTAGTTCGGATGTCCGGTATGCACTCGTAAATGAATCATTTCCATATCCTGCGTTAATTATGTTAACTAATTACATGCGTTTCCTCTGGAAGAAGGTAAATCTTGAGTCGAGGATTAATACAACTTAGTAGCGTTGTACAACGGAATTCAATTGTCTACACAATTTTTGCATAACTTAAAACATCATACCCCGGAACAATGGAAAGGCACTGTCCACTCTTCATTCCGGGATTACACCTGCAAAACTAAACTATTTTACTTGATTCGTGGTTCTGTTTTAACTTAAGATTTGTTTTGGCGATGAACCTATTCTAAGACGTTGCACAGATCATATTTGATGATAATTATTTTATATTAGCCAACGGACAGTTTTCATCGCAAGTTGTAGGGAAGTGGTCCTATTTCTTTCAGGTGGTAGGTCCATCGAGATAAGTTTAAATGAGATTTAATTTGTCTCTATTTTCTTGCTTTTGATTCTTTACATTGGATATCAGGAAGAGAAAAATTACTTATTACAGCAAAATTACTTTAAAAAATTACTTATTCTTAGCATTGACAGAAAAAATTAAAATGCTTTGGACGTGTACATTATTGGTAACCTGTTATAATTGATTACCAATTCCGGAAGGCTTCAACATGCATGGATATAAGTTGTAATCGATAGTAACCTGTTGCAAGAAATTATGTGTTCTACAATAACTCCATAAACTGCCTTTTATTTTTAACAAGTTGTTAAGTAATTTAGTAAAGATTTATTAATTATTCAATTATTTATTTTACATTTGTAAAAGATGCATTTGTAAGATTGTAAGATAAAGGTCTAAAGTTATGAAGTTAGTTACGTGGTCGATATGTGTTCTACTGTATTAATATAACTTAAACCCAACATTACACATAAGCATCTCATTAGGGTTAATTGTTATCTTAAACCATTTTCAATTTATGTTTATTTCAAACGTCTATGTTAATGGTCAATGTTGATGCTTACAAACAAACATCGAGATCCAAGAACATAGAACGCAATTAACTTTATTTGTAATCCAAGCAATTTAATCGAGTAAAAGCCAAACGAACAGAGTTTATTTAGTCGATTAAAGAGTGAGAGAGATAGCGGGAACATTGTTGGCTGAGCGGCGTAAATTACTGTAAATGGAAAGTGTGTAAATTGAATTTACTTTCCAAGACAGACATTTGCTAACCTCACTGCACGAAGATGTCTCGCATCAACTAAATGTTGGTTTATCACAGACTAGATTTAAAGGATATGATTGAAGTTAATTTATACAGTATTAAAATAAGATTCCTGCTGACCATCACGTGTAAACCACTGGACCATATCGGCTGAGATTTCACGCAAAATTACTAGTGAGCCGAGAAGTGTTAGGTCAGCTAGATGTTATAACATTTTGTCCTAGAGCTCTGCCCCCGGCCATTAAAAGTTGTAAATTAGTACAACCATTGACTTTGTTTACTAAATTATTGTAAAATGTTTACAGAAAATAAAGATTGATTCTGATTCTGTTTCTACTTAATAGAGCTGACTTTGTCGGTCTAAACCCTGTTCTCGTTGCACCTTTGCAGATAGCACAATTACCTGATTTTATAGTGGTAAATGGTGGTAGAGCAGATTAGAGCTCGCTCGGAATCGGACCAGCAACCTTCAAATACGACCATAATCATAATCATTAGTCATACTATTGAGTCAGCAACGAAGCATAAAGTATTACAAGCTGAATTTGGAATACAAGCTGTGTAGTAAATTGGAGTGAGATGATTCTTGTAGCATTTTAATAAAGATCAGCTGTTACTTTAGCCAATAACATACAGGGTGAATAAAAAGTCAAGACCCCCCCCCATCTAATATTTTTTCAAGTAAATATACAGAGACATCCTTTTGGTGGTCGTTCAATCTTAGCATGAAGTTTCATTTTATGATTTTGAAATTTTCGAGTGTCCCCCCAAAATGGGGGATTTGGGGGGAAACTCAAATATTTTAAATGTAAACCCCCTGAAAGTGACACCTAATTTTAAAGGGTTTACAAAAACTTAAGGAATGGTGAAAACTAGAGGTCGCTATCTCTTCTCTATCCAAAATGGTAGCCCATCAAATGTTGTGGAAAATCAATGGTAAAATTGGGTCGTAATGGTAATATTGGCTACCATTTTGGATAGAGAAGAGATAGCAAACTCTGGTTTTCACCATTCTTTAGGTTTTTGTAAATACTTCAAAATAAGGTGTAACTTGATCGAGGTTTACATTGAAAATTTGTTAGTTGCCCCCCATATCCCCCTTTTGTGGGGGCACTCAAAACTTTTAAATGTAAATCCCCATTTAGTGACACTTCGTTTTGAAGTGTTTACAAAAACTTAATGAATGGTGAAACCAGAGTTCGCTACCTCTTCTCTATCCTAAATGGTAGCCAATATTACCATTACGACCCAATTTTACCATTGGTTTTCCACAACATTTGATGGGCTACCATTTTGGATAGAGAAGAGATAGCGACCTCTAGTTTTCGCCATTCTTTAAGTTTTTGTAAACCCTTCAAAATGAGGTGTCACTTGCAGGGGGTTTACATTTAAAATATTTGAGTTACCACCCAAATCCCCCCTTTGGGGGGACAGTCAAAAATTTCAAAATCATAAAATGAAATTTCATGCTACGATTGCACGACCACCAAAAGGATGTCTCTGTATATTTACTTGGACAAATATTAGAGGGGGGGGGGGTCTTGACTTTTTATTCACCCTGTAGATATAACCATAGCGCACACCGCTGTAGTTTACGTAGCGTGTACGCCGTAAATACATGGCGCTCCAAGCGGTGTGCGCCAGAAGCTATGGTAACCGCAGCACAGCTGACGTTCTTTATTTAATTCTTTTTGTCTATGATAAAACACACATGGTAGAATGAAGTGATATGATCCTGATAGCATTCATGTTGAAGATTAGCTGTTTATTTAGCCAATATAAATAGAACTTGGCCTTGGATTCAAACTGTCAAAAATCGGGTTTCTCGTTAAAATAAGCGACTTTTTGTTTGTAAGGCGAGCCATAACCACAGGGCTACCCAAACAACATTACTGTTCAAACTACCCCCTACGTTGAAACACATACACATTTACCAACCCCTATCTATATTTCACTACCCCTAGTGTTCGAGTCACGTGTCCAAGTGTAATTTATAGGAGCGTGTGTTGACTTAGAAATTAAAACTCTCCTGATGTGTTAGCATTGCATTTGTGGGCGAGGAGGGTTCCGAAACAAAATAAACAACCCTTAATTAATGTGGACTGGGGTCGGTTGTCTCGTATTTCTGTTTGTTAACGGTTATGGGGGTTGACTTTAAAATTGCTTGTTTCTTGACACTAATTTTGGTATTTTGGTTATTTTTTGTTTTTTTTTTTATTGGTGTTTTATTATGTAAAATAAATGTAAAGATATTGTCGTTAAAACCGTTGCAAAATGCATTTGAGATTATAATTTATTAATGTAGAATATCGTATTTAGTTATTTAACTTTATATGTAGTTAAAGGTTTTGTTAGATTTTGGACTAGTGAATTTACAATGTGTAATTGTTTCTACGTCACATTAAGCAATAAAACATATTTAACAGTAGCACTAATGTTTATTGTGTAAAGCTTGGTAAAAATTTGGTGTTGGCTGGAATGTCAGCACCACAATAATGGGTTGGTTTTAGTCTTCTTTTAGCATTTAACGTTTAACATAGTACTATATTCGTCTCCAGGAAATTCATTTTAAAATATTCTGAGGGGAGCTATAACTGCGCGTCTAAAATAATTTACATGTGAGGTCGAGTTGTATAGAATCTCATTGATGTAACTTGGTGCATGCCAAAGAAAACTCTCTTTCTAACGTTGTCGTATCGTTAAACGCTTTGTAATTCTAATATGGCAACAAATCAATGTAAACTATATTATGGTTTTACATAACTATCAACTTTCAAAGAACCGAGGAAACAATAATAGAAGACATAGCCTCAATAATTATCTGGGTTATGATCTGGGTGCTAAAGGATACTAATTTGATTTCAAGCAAGACCGTTGCTGAACCCAAATGTTCTTCGAAATTTGGTAATTAATTAATGATGCTATCAAACAAAATCTAGATGTACCAAGATCAGGGTTTGGACGGTTTACATAAAAAATTAAAATTCCAATGGTTAAGATTTAGACACACATAACACAATAAAGTAGATACACTCTCTATAGAGGCTCATTGAACTTGTAGGTTCCTAATTTATGAAAAAAAATTAGAACATCATATACTGTAAATGAATGACTACTACTATAATATTAAAATATAACACTTAAAACACGTTCATCCTATCTTTCGATCATAGAACATACTATTTGTCAC